CTGAGGAAAAGTCATATCTTCAATATGGAGATAAAAAATTTAGTTCCTAACCTGAATCATTAACCAGAATATGCATGTTATTTAAATGAACTCTCAGTTTAGGTAAAAGTTTAAGATCAAAAACCACTTAAAAATACTGCATGGGAGATACATTATATACCATGCCTTAATTCACAAGACAATTAGAGACGTAATCACAGCTATATAAACCATTTCTTCTAGCTAAACAAATAAACAAATAAGCTTTCCTTAAGTAAGGGGGAAGGTGAAATGATAATCGCAAAAATTAAATGTTAAGCTCTAGATAGTGCCTATGTGTGTGCTCTATAAGATCCTTTTTCTGTTTGATATTTGGAATTCAGTACTGACTTTCTCACAGAAATAGCATTACATGCTAGCTTCTAGGCAAATCCACAACAGACTGTTATACTGGTAACACAGCAGGAACATTGATGGTCAATGTAATCTACTCAGCATCAAGTGGCCAGGGCTGCAGGTGGTGGGAGCTCCAGGAGCTCCAGAGAAGAGTGGTTGTGGCAGAGAACTATTCTGAAATAATTCCAAGGTGGGGGGCAACGAAGCCAGGTGGATCCAGCAGCCAATATGGATGTTTGGGGGCTATTTGTGATTTAAGAACCACTTATACTAAAGAATTCCCTCAAAGTAATCTCAGTTCAATGTAACTATAATATGTTTAGAATTTGTATAATAAATCAACACAATTCAACAAATATATATATAAAACTTTCAACATTTTACTGAAAGAAATAGATAATTCAAACACGAGACATGTTGCATAAGCAATATGTCCCAAGATGGAAATATATTTTTCCAAATTCAAACAAATCAAATGAAACTAAATCTAACTCCTCAAATTATATTTTAGCACAACAAAAACTATTCTATAATTTCTTTAAACAAATTAATAAGCATACACAGTAAAAAGCCACTCCAATGAAAATAGAGATTAGAACATATTATTAAACAATAAACATCAAAACTGTGTGATTCTGGTCCAAAAGTGAAAACCAAGAGTATTGGAACAACAAGAAGGCCAACAAATAGATATAAAGTTTTATGTGTCTTCGTTTTAGGCAAAGCAAGTTTCTTCAAAAGGGAGGTGGGTATACATGGGGAAAGGTTATAATAAATGGTATACCAGTATGGGGAAGAAAAAAAATTGGAGCTACACTTTATAAACCAATGAACCCTAGGTATATTAAACAAATACTTCAAAAAAAAATCTCTGAAAAATAAAATAATCAAATCATGAGGTAAATAAAAACAAATGTTGACTCATTATGTGGCAGAGTTTAAAATTACCAAAGAAAACACAAAGAACAGACTAAAGCACATGAAAGGTTGATTTTTAAATCAACAAAATTACATTTAAATAAAAAACTCTACACAAGTAACAAAACAATCAACTATGAGAACGTAGTTACAAGGAGTATTAATGTTATATGGAGTATACACTCAATCGGGAATACACGTTTTACTTCCCATGATTCTGGGAGGCAACAGTGACCTTGTTCTACTCATGTAGTAATAATGATTTTGAAAACCAGCACAAGCCTCTTATAAAAATCCTGTGACAATAAACAAAGTGATCATAACAAGGTTACTTCCTTCTGACCTAACTTAAGGAGATGCAGCCAGTACATGGATCTCTGCTGTGTATGTTCCTCTCTCCCTGGGAAAAGAAGACACTGTCTCTCATCATCACCCTGTACCAGCCTGTACCAGCCTCTGCTGCCTGGAGGAACAGTAGCAGGACCTCTATTTGAGGTTCCCACAGAGAACAGACAGGTGATATGACTACAGCCTAGACTCCACGTACAGAGTCACTGAAGGGGTTGTCAGCGAATCGTGTTTTAACCGTGTATCTTTCCATTACTCCTGTTGTCAGCACTAGGGCCTTGAGTTCCTAAGCAGAAACCGCCACTGAAGAGCCCTACATGGTGACCTTTTGTTTGCCAGTCAATTATGGTCACTTTCTGGGCTGAAGGCAGAGACAGCCTCCCACCATGACTACTACTGCTGCCTGGAAATAACCTGCCACTCCATTCTACATTGCCAGAACCCTTGTCCCACTGCAATAAAGCAGGAAACGCTGCGTTGGTAATAACCACCGAGAAATCATTGCCTGCTCACTGCTCAGGCAGGTCATCTGCAACTGCTGGCCTCTGATTTTCCTGGCCAGCTCCAGGGTACTCAGATGATTTCCCTGCTCAACTTACTTTTAGAAAGTTGAAAAATACTAAGAGTGAAAAGCAGATGCAGAGATGAATGGGTGGGTGGATGGATGTGGATGGGTATCTGGGTTGGTGCCCCATCAGCTGTTATTACAGCATCTTTAATGGACATTATGCACCTCGTCCAAAAGCATAATGTCCCTGGTCCATGCTAGGTCTCCTTCATTTCTGAGGTACCTTCCTGTAACTGACTTCTGTTTACAAACTTGGCTAACCCTGAATAAACTACATGCTTTCCAGCCCCATCTGTCCAATTCCTATGTTACAACAGGCACAATTACATGGTATGCAACGATTAAAAACTGTAATTATAAAGACTATATATAACATGGAAAAATGGGCTGAAATATGTCAATGTCTCTCTTTCCCTCATTCTTACATAGTTCAGCCCAAAAACTATTAGGCAGGCAAGAGCAAAGTAGGCTTCAGCATGAAAGTGGAGGCAAATGGCATGGGCTGAGAAAAGTTTCTGCACTCTGGAAGGGTGAGGGCAGAGACAGCCAAGCATCACCATGCTCATGGTCTGAGCAAGAAGAGGAGGATCCTTGTGTGAGGAAGGGGCAGGAATAACAGTATATGGGCTACATAATGAAGCCAGGTTCATCACTGTCAGAAAAAGGAGCCAGGCATAAGTGAGAAAACTATAATTAACCCTATGGTATTGGGTTGGGATTAGAAGCACTGGTGTATTGTTATAAACTCCTGGTTAGCAATATAGATACTAAACTACAGATATTTCAAAATACCAATATAAATAGATATAGAAGTACAGTTGTAAACACACACACACACACACACACACACACACACACACACATTTTGTTTTCCTAGCTCTGTTCACAGAAATGATATGAAAGCAGTGACAGCCCAGTAGCAGTGAACACACCTGGTTGCTAAACACTATTCTACGCTAAAAGGAACCAGGGCTCCTTGGAGAATTGGTTAGTTTCAGGAAAATACAAGGTAAGTCTGGAATATTCTGTGTCAGAAAGTAAAGAAGTGCTTACAGAACAATGAGGACAAGTGAAAGGACATGAAAGCTACTTGAAGGAACTCACGGTGGCCAAATCTAGGACAATTTGATATTAAAATAATGATAAAAAACACCAAAATCTAATAAATAAAATCACAAGCTGTGTGGCCCTTTAAACAGATAAATGGCAAGAAGGAAAAGTTCTTCCTTACAATAAAAATCCAACTAATAAGTTAGAAAAAATGAATTTTTAAAATCACCATTTGGCAACCATCAGAATAATAATTCAGTCAAAAACAAACAAACAATGGATTCCAAAACCAGTGGGTGAAAGTGGTAATATTCCATAATGGAATGGAATATGTATCATATAAAAGTACCTTCAACCCCGAAGAACTTTCCCACATACTTCCAAATAACAAAGAAGGTAAGAGTAACTCCACAGCAGGGATGCCTGGCAAGCCTCACCTTAGCTGAATGATCAAAGGGAACATCTCAGTCATGAAACAAATGGAAATCATGTAATAAATATGAGGAAAACAGCGTCATTTCTCTGATATTCCTGGCAAAATGCATATTAGTTTAATAATAAGGAAACACAGTCCATGCTCACACATCTATACAGAGCTACCCGAGACTGTGTAACTATGAAGAAAAGAGGTTTACTGACCCCCAGTTCCACAGGCTTACCAGGAAGCATGACGGGGAGGCCTCAGGAAGTCATGGCAGAAGGCAAAGGGGAAGCAAGGCATGTCTTCTCATGGCGACAGGAAAGGAGGCAGCAGAGATGTGCCACACACTTTTAAATAATCAGATCTCATGAGAACTCACTCACTATCATGAGAACAGCATGGGGGAAATCCGTCCCCATGATCCAGTCACCTCCCACCAGGTCCCTTCTCCAACACTGGGAATTACAATTCAACATGAGACTTGGGTGAGGACACAGAGTCATACCATATCAACAGCCAAATCCTACATTTGTGTAGAGAGGTGTTCTACAACAGATCTGATCTGCTGTTTTCAAAACTGCCGAAGTCAAAAAAGTCCAGGAAAGACCAAGAAACTGTTCGAGACAGAGAGAACAGAGAGTGGTGGCAACCAGATGCCATACAGGAAATTGGACTCAATATGGGACCCACAAGGAACACTGTTGAGACAAATGACAAGACGAGATTCAGGTCTGAGGACCCGATGGCAGAAATGTCTCGGTGTTAGTGCCCTAACATAGATATCACTGTTTAAGGAAATACACAATGAAGTATTCAAGGATAGTAGGCACTATTTACTTTCCAACAATTTTGAAATTAAAAAGTTCTCGGTACTATTTTCGCAACTTTTCTATGACATTGAAGCTATTTCAAAATGAAAAAAGACATGATACCAAATCCTCTATGTATATTACAATTACAACTATCTATTAAGATGAATATAAATCACAGAAATGAAATGATTAAAAGACACCATTGTGTCAAGGTTTTGCATTTGAGGGTTATTATTCAACTTAAAATATTCCTTTCATGTCTTAGTTCCATAACAACAACTTTTAAGATAATTCTATATATGTTTACACTTAACTAAACAAGGCCATGGGTATTATAAAGAAGCCCTCCAGCCAAACAGAAGAGAAAAAGACTATTGAAGCAAACAGTCTCATCCTTTTTAAACCTATCAGTAATTAATTCTAAGATGCACATGTTCTCTCACTGCCCAGCCAACTTGTTTTCTCGCAACAATACATACAAAGGACTCGGAAAATTTAAACCAGATACCTTGATTTAGATGTGTGGCCTCCATGATCTGAACGCCATTCACAGAGCACTGGGACCCACTCAGGGGTATCAGAGTCACTGTCCCCCCAGTATTTTCAAAGATGCAATGCTCACTCTCCAAGTCAAGGCCATGAAGAACTAAAATGGAAAAACAAAGTAGAAAGAATTTTTCCCCCTTTTGTATCTACTGCAATGATTCCCAGCTATTTATCTATCAATTGATTTAGTTTCCTTTTGAATATCCTTCTTTTTCCACATAAATATCATGAAGTGAATATTTATGTTTAGTGAGAAAACTGAACTTCAGGAGCTCATGACATTCACTGATAGGACTGGAGGATCCTTAGAATGTTCCTCAAGGGGTCTGGACATCACGTGTAAGAAAATCAGTTCTGGGATGTTAACTCATTTCATCTTTGGGAAGAAAACAGTTGAGTAACTTGTTTTAACTGAATTCCATGGAACTGCCCTGTTGGATACTGAATAAGTTTCCCCCATCAGCCACCCAGAGGCCACAGAAAATGGAAGAAGCAAAAGTGCTCCATGGGTCAAGGACTTACTGAGACCTCTGCACTGACAGACACTGCACTCCAGGAGCAGAAACCCAAAATGAACTTGGCATGACATGAATCTTGAAAAGCCCAAGAGGTCTTCAGAAGCCATACTGAGATGCCTGTTGCCTGAGCCTGAGTCAATTCTGAGGCCTCTCAGAACATGCAGCTGCTAAAATATATCTATTCAAGTATAACACTCCTGGATTCTTGTTTGAAGAATGGTCAAACACATATAGGAACACCTGTCAAATAAACCTACGTGATTTTAGGCACAGTTCTTGGCCAGCGTCTTGGGAGTACAAGCCATCTAGTTTCCACTGTCTACATATTTGCCCTACTGATCTCCGATCACAGAAAACATGTGTTCTTACTGCTTATCATCATTTATAGCTATCCCAAAGATCAAACACATAATTTAACAATTAGAAGAAGAGGCCTGATGCATAGTTTTACTCAAAAACACTTGAATCTGGAACTTCTAGAAAATAGTTTTTATCTCTCCCAGTCTCACAGTAAATAGTAAATATTATGTTGGTGCAAAAGTAATTGTGGTTTTTGCCATTACTATTGCACCAACCTAATACATGTAGGAATATACTAGAATTGGCTTGATTAATGGCTTACACTTGATGAGAAAGCAGGTTCACTGCCAGCAATTCTAAAAGCAGCTGAGACAATATAATTCTTACCCCGCCAGTCCCCACCTTGCCACATACATATACACACCCCGCCCCCTCCACCACCACCAATTGCCTAAGTTATGCTCTTAAGGCTGGAAGGACCTCACCTATGTAGGCTAAGTCACTGATTATCTGTGTGTCTTGTGAAGACTTTTGGTAAACCCAAAAAGCCATGCCTCCACATGTGTGTATGCTGTGTTTTCTCCTACTTTCTGTTGTCTTCTTTCTGAAGATAAGTGTCTATAGCCTTCTCATTCAAAAGACCTATATCTTTTATCTGTGTCTATTGGTATATATTTCCATCAGTCATTGTTCCATTGTGAGACAATGTAGAGTAATTTAAGAACTGTGTTCCTCAAAGACCTAATAAGGTATGGAACGTATGTAGGGTGGAGGAAAGGGTTCATTGGCGCATTTTATTCACCAAATTAGTTGTTCCATATAATCCATTTGAGTTGTATTCTAATCACAGAAATATATATATACTGACCAACACTGTACTTGAAAAATAATTTAATTTTCTATAATTACTTCAATGTCAGTCATTCAAAAGGAGTCTACCTTGAATACAAACTTAAGAAGTCACTGGGAAGAGATCACTGATAATATGCTCACCAATATCTTGCTCCGTGGAAGCATCTTCTCTACCAACATATGTCTGACCTTCCTGGGAAGAAAAGCCAAGCAAAATGTATTAGCAACAAGAGGAGGAATAGCTTGTTTCTTCATTTTTCATTTAAACCCAAACAACATAGAGGCCGATGGGATGAACAATGTCCTGGCAGGCCACAGCTTCAGTGCAATGAAAGCGCCTGGGGCTCTGTGAAAACCGCCCGGGGTTGTCTGGAAAGGGTTACGTACGGCAATCACGAGGCCCTGCTTTGGCAGGGGTGACACTTCGCTCGTGACGGGAATGTCATTAATGTTCCTGATCCTTTCTGGGAAGGTTCTCCTCCAGTGGCCAAGAGTTTCTTTGTGTCTAAAGATACAGTTTATGGCCCAGCCGGGGTGGCTCATGCCTGTAATCCCAGCAATTTGGGAGGCCAAGGTGGGCAGATCACAAGGTCATGAGATTGAGACCATCCTGGCCAACATGGTAAAACCCTGTCTCTACTAAAAGTACAAAAATTAGCTGGCCATGGTGGCATGCATAGTCCCAGCTACTCAGGAGGCTGAGGCAGGAGAATCGCTTGAAACCGGGAAGCAGAGGTTGCAATGAGCCGAGATGGCACCACTGCACTCCAGCCTGGTGACAGAGTGAGACTCAATTAAAAAAAAAAATACAGTTTATGGAAGTCTCCAAAATATAAGTGCAGTAGTAGCATTCTTATTGTAAGTTATGGGTCAGAGAGAGGACACTAAAGTCAAGGTCACAGAGCCAACCATTAATATTTATGTGGAATTCTGTACTCCCAAGATGAACTGCCTGCTTGGAACCAAGCCCAATAATGAAGGTGAGAAGCACGATTTTATAATTACCACCAGGGACCAGAAAACTGCACACACAACAAAATCCCCCCGGTTCTAGCTGTTTACAACTTTTCTCCTTCAGTCTGTGTGCCTTTTTGTTCCTTACCTCCGTCTTACTAATCCTACAGAAGAGAAAGCAAATGAGTGGCTCATCATTTAACTTTAGATAACAAGGTAACTTTAAATACCAAAGAATCCTAATGAGCTACTGAAAATCCCCAAATGGCTCAAGGATTTGTGGTATATTCTTTTTTTTTTTTTTCTGAGACAGAGTCTTGCTCTATCACCCAGGCTGGAGTGCAATGGCACTCAGCTCACTGCAACCTCCACCTCCCGGGTTCAAGCAATTCTCCTGCCTCAGCCTCCCATGTAGCTGTAATTACAGGTGCGTGCCACCACACCAGGCTAATTTGTGTATTTTTAGTAGAGACAGGGTTTCACCATGCTGGCCAGGCTGGTCGTGAACTCCTGACCTCAGGATCCATCCATCTTGGCCTCCCAAAGTGTTGGGATTTCAGGCATGAGCCACCGTGCCTGGCCTGTTGTGTATTCTTTAATTTAGTTGTGTTCATGGTCATAGAATATTATAATAAACCTAGTTAGTGTCTAATAGAAAAACTGAAAACAAAATTAGAATGTTCCACTTAATCGGTTTCTACCTTTAAGTGATATAGGATGATTCCAGTGCTCAAAAGGTCATCATCGATGCCAATCAAATGAGGCAGTTCCGAATCCAAAACAACTCCTATGCCTTCTTTCCTGAGAGCTAGGGTTTGTTCCTGAAATTAAGGGGATAAGAAAAAGAAAAGGTTACTTTGGGAAATGAGAACTTCATATTAGGTGTTCTTTAGACTGTCAGAATGGGCAATATTTTATTTCCATCTAAAGAACTGCAAGAAAAATGGACCTTAAACTTCATGTTGAAATCCTGGCAGGTAGTAAGCAAAGTGAACTTGGAACATATAAAAAGCTCAATATAAAATGAATTAAACTCATTACCTGATATATAACCTCTTCAAAGCCAATCTTCCTGCAGAAATGTTCTAGGAACATCCAAACTACAAAGTAATCTTTCTCCCTCTTCAGAGCTTTTATGCCATTTAATATCAAGATGTCACCTTAGTTGATGGCTTTTCTCTCCACTCACATGGTTGAACTGTGTATGGTCCTGAAAAGAAGGCTTCCTGTGCATTAGCTACCCTGCACCAGAGGAACCTGGCCCTCTGCCTCCTGTGACATCAACCTCTCCTATCCACTGGATCATTCCCTGCTATATATTAATACACATCTGCTAGTGACCTCCCATTCCCAACCCCCACCTCGTCTTTTGGTCTTGCATCTCCTAGCTACCACCAATTTCTCTGTGCCCTTTAGAGAAAACTATCTTTGAAAAGTTCCCTATAGCTACAGTTTTCCAATTCCTTCCCTCTCACTCTTTCTTCAACTCGCTCTATGAAGAATATTGTCTTTGGGACTCTTCTTTACTAACGACGACTTTCCTGATGGTCTCCTTCTGCCTCTTGTCTTTACCTGCCGTCTATATGCCAATGACTCTCAAATTTCATCTCCAGGGCAGATGTCTCTCTTAAGTCCCTACCTGCCATCTATATGCCGATGACTCTCAACTTTCATCTCCAGGGCAGATGTCTCTCTTAAGTCCCTACCTGCCATCTATATGCCGATGACTCTCAAATTTCATCTCCAGGACAGATGTCTCCCTTAAGTCTCTACCTGCCATCTATATGCCGATGACTCTCAAATTTAATCTCCAGGGCAGACATCTCCTTTAAGTCCCATATTGACATAGATACCATATATATGAGTCTACTGTGTGTGCATGTGTGTGTGTGTATACACACACACACACAAGCACACACATATACTAACCCAACTCAGTTTATCTATGGAGATGCCAAACAGGCAGCACAAATTTAATACATTAAAAACAAAACAAAACAAAACAAAAACCTTTGATTCTCTCTGCTGCCCAAACCTGCAGACTATCCTATCTCAGTAAGTGCCAACCTTTCCTGTTTGGCCTAAATAACCATGCTTATACATTGCTCCTTTATTTCTCTAAACTCTATATATGTAGTGTTAACTCTACTTTCAAAATATGTCCAGAATCTGGTAACAACAAACTACCTGCAGCACTGGCCTCTGGCCCAAACCATCACTGTCTTTCACCCAGGTTACTGCGATAATCCAGGCCACCACTCATGTCTCCCATAATATATGCTCAACTCAGCAGCCAGAGAGCTGTTAGGACATGTCACTCCTCTACTCAGGTCCTTCAATTAGACTCCCATTTCAGTGAGACAAAAGCCAAAGTCTTGATGATGTTCTACAAATTCTACCTGATCTCACCCCATATTCTACCTGTCATCTCCTGCCGCTCTCCCCCCGGCTCACACCTCTCCAGGGTTATAGGTACCTTGCTGTTCTTCAAACTTGCCAGCCTGCCCCATCTCATGGAGGCACTGACTGCGGTTCCCTCCGCTTTTGTGGTTGCTGTTTCCTCTGACACTGCAATTCCTTCTCTTCCCCTACAGCAGGGTTTCTGGACTGCGGTACAGTTGTCATTTCAGACTAGATAATTCTTCATTCTTACACACAGTAGGATAATTTGTAGCACCCCTGCCTCTACCCAGTAGTTGCTAGCAACACACCCGAGGTTCTGACAACCAAAAATGTCTCCAGACATTTGAGAAGTATTGCCCTAGTTACATACATAACATAGCCCCTTCCTTCCTTCAAGTCTCTGCTCAAAAGCCACCTTCCCCATCATCCCATATAAAATAGCAACCACTAATACACACCCGTGCGCACACACACATACACTTTATTACCAGTTGTCTGGATAGAATGTAACCCAGCACCTAATTTCATGTCTGACACATCAATTAATATTTGCCAGAGGAATGAATGAATGAGTGGATGCACAGACTTCAGTAGAATGCAGGAGGAAAGGTCAGAGGCAATCCATGGGGAAGAGAATGGAAGTCCCATGTCTTAACATCAGGCCCGTCTGAACCCATACTAAAGACCTCTAAAGTCAAGCTTCTGGGGAAGTCTGAGGTGGAAAGCAGACAAAGTCCAGAAGGTTGAAGGTAAAAATTGCAGTCTTGAGGTTGGGTTGAAGGATCAGGCCAAATCATGTTCAATAGCATGACATTGTGCTCCATGACTGTATGAGCAACAGAAAAGCCAGTTCCAACCACTAACTGGGGAGTCCTTTGCAGATATTTAAGTTTCAAATGCACACTGAAGACCTGAAGCCATGCAAGAAGGCAGTGAAATGAAATAGGAAAAAAAAAAAAAAAAAAGATGGCTTTAAAAAAAAAACATAAAAATCACAACATGCAGGAAAGCAATTTAATTTAACAACCATTAAATAGATACGCAGAGAAAATGACCAATGCATAACTTAGATTCAAGAAAAGGAAATGAAGCGTGTCATTGTTCTTCAATTACTCCTCTTATCTGCCAAGCTCCCATTCCACGGCTCAGAACCTCAGGCTCTGAGGTTGGAGACTTCAGTAACATTGATTTACTACACCAAGGAACATGCAAAGGAACTGAGGACTCTCCATAGCCAACGCCTACTCCTGCCTCTCAGACATTAGCAGAATTCATGCTTTTCCTCCTGACCATGAAATTCAAGCAGAAATGGGAAGTGACTTTTTTAAAGACATACATTACAGGGGAGAATTTAATCACACAGCTCTATTTCATAAAACGATGTCCTCATGGGAAGGTTTGGTAGCTCTGAACTGTGACCAAACTGCATACACACTCAGTAGCCCCACGGCAATGAATTATTACAGGCCTCTAGGTCCACATTTAAAGGAAAGCGACCGTTCGTAAGTCCAGAGGCATGCATATTTTCTTTCTGCACAGAAGTGGGCAATAATCCCCCACCCCCAAACACACAGTATTTTAAACTTTGATAGCTCCCACTCAAACTACAGCAACTGCTTTGGACTACATTCCAGTTTAGCTTAATATTCTTTCTTTTTTTAACCATTGAGAAACACTTTTGTTTTCCTTGAAATAAGACTTTGAAAAGCATTGGAAATTCCTAGTTTCAGAGCCATTAGGTCAAAAGCCTGACTTGTTCCCACCCATCCCTACCATGTACACACACACACACACACACACACACACACACACTCACATATACTTCCATACATATAATGGGTAAAATCTGAATTAAGAGAAAGTTTTCCAGGATTGCAAGTGGGGAAGAATGAATTTATGGTTAATGCTGCCCTAAAGCTCTATGACATTCAGGCTGCATTCAACTACATGATATTATAAAACTGTCACCTCATAAAACTGGAAACGAGGGTTTAAATCTTGCTCAAGTGAAAAAGTAATTTCAGACAAAAATATCTATCATGTATAAAATCCTTATTGAGTGGCACCTACTGTTATACATAATTTATGAAACACCTCTTGGATAAGATGGAATACTTACCATAGTAGAGGGGGGCATGCCTCCCCCAACTCCAAACACAGGGTCCCAAAGAAAGCAAAGTAAAATATGTATGCTTTCATATATTTTACATTGAAACAAAGGTCTCAGCAACCAGGCTTATTTGGATTTTTGAAAAACCATATACACTGACTAAAAGTGTCAAAACATAGCATCAGTTTATTTTAAGCATCATGTTCATAACATTTACAAATAATATGCTCCATATGTTTTTCTTTAACTTCCAGGCACCTATTCAGGTGAAATCCCTCTGAATTTAAAACACATGCCCTCTGCTGGGACTGTCACAGAATCACTTCTTCCCCTTCCGGTGGCTCTGGTGATTGCATACAGGGCTGCCCAGATCCCAGGGGAGAAGATCACAGGAGAACTTGGCTCAATGCGCAATGCATTTGTAACCACCATCATGGTTTATGAGAGTAAGCAGGGATTCTAGCTCTTTTAATCACCACCACATTCTTACTGCCCAGCACATGCCTTACAAAACTCAACAACTTTCTTGAATAAATAAGTAAAAACAATACAAAAACACCAACAACAAAAGTCTAATTTTTTTCCCTCTTAGAAAGCCTCCCTGGGATCTAGATCATACTGGGGAAAAACTGGGAAAAGTTTGACAGTGTGTCTGTCCCACGTAAATTAAGATGTCTTTAGGAATAAGAATTGTGTCTTCACACTGAGTACGTTAGGTGAATATAGCTGTGTCAGGCACACAGTAGTCACTCACTAAGTGCTGATTATTTGGTACTATAGGGAGTGATTTCTAAGTGGCACTTTTTTCCTGAACAGATAAGAATGAAATGTCGGAATCTTTTTGTGAAAATTTATGCTACAGAGAATTATATATTTCATGAGCAGGTAGAATTTTGTGGAGTTGACTCACATCATAAAGTGTACATAATTTCTGCAACCCTGACTACAGACACCGCAGATGTCTGGGGCTAGGGGTGGAGGACAATCAGGACTTGAGCACACACCCAGCGTGGGTGTGAGGAGCGGGGAGAAAGTCAGCCAGCCAGAAAGTTGTCAATAAAAAATAAAATTATCGTCTAGCAAAACTACTTTTTAATTTTAAAAAGTTGTACGTGATTTTAAATTTAACAGAAAAGAAAAGAAATTATTTGTTGAATTTCAGCCATGTTTCTTTATTATTAACGTAAGAGGTCTTCCTAAAATATCCTTGAAGTCAGGAAAAGGGGTTATGACACACATTCACAGTGCATATACTTTTTTCATACAAGTTAGTTTTAAGCACGATCTCCTGAGTGTGTACCAGTTTGA